ACATGGAACGCTGTTACCTTCCCACCAAGCGGTTCCTAATTTTCTACTTGCATTTTTACATGCTTTCGAACTGCTAGGTTGGCAGAAGCTGGGACAAGTAATGGGAGCTCACTCCGTTACGTGGCACTAGGGATTTGAACTGTCGACTTTTCTAATCAACAAGCTCAGCGTCTTAGCCACTGAGCCATTTCATCACGTAACCAAAGGGATGCTGCAACTGATGTAAGTGTGAGGTCCACTTGTAAGCCACTTTTATCTATGCAGTTGCAACTCTGTGCAGTCACCAAATTAATGGTTCTATGTTGAGGACTCTTGTACTGAAAAAGATTTGTCCAAACTATAATCTTTTTGAACAAGATAGAGATGCATAAATATCCATACTGCTGCTACATGGACACATAAACACACATCATGTTATTTTCCATTTGGTGTAAACAATACTACACAAAAGAAAGAAAAGCAGTAAAAAATTGTAAGCCACAGAAATTATCACGTTGTTTCAATGACTTCCTGAAAACAAAAACCTAGTTTATGCACTTTACTTGGCACAAAATCACACTGTACTTCCCAAAGTTTTGCTCAGTGTGACCTCTTCCACAGTTTCAATCAGAATTCTGTCAAACATCTTCTCAGGCATACTTAACAATCTCCCTGTAGTTCTTACATTCATTTTTGTTAGCTTTCCTTTTGTATAAAGGAACAATAACAATTCTTCCAATTGTTAAATCCAGATGCAGTTTTTCACATCATGTTAAGCAAGATAGACACAGTCACTCCATAGACAAATTGCATTCATATGTGGACATTTTTCCAGGTATATAATCTACTCCTGAGCTTTAACTGTTATCAACATTCTCACAGCAATTATGACTTGTTTTTGTACATTTATCTTGGGCATAACAGTTATAGTTTCTTTAATTTTACTTTTTGGCATTTTGCTATCATCTCCCTATAAACTATAAATATAAAATACTTCTTCCGGGATTTCCTCCTTCTAATTTCATCTCATATCATTTCATCACTTTTATTTTTCATTCCCCTCTTTTCTGATCCACTTCATTTTGGTCTCTTAAAACTTTACCATTCCTTGCTCTCTGCACCTTACATATTATACAATAACTTTATTCTCATACTATTTATAACTCCTTATATGAATTTTGCTCATTCACAACCACTTTTGCTTTCATATTCACAAAGCATTTTTCCATACTTTCCATTGGTCTAATTTCTCAGCCTTATGGGGTAAGTGAACAAGTTGGAGGAAGGCAAGCACAGAATCAGATGAAACCAGGAGAGGACTAGGGAAAACTGACATACATACATTACATATATCATACATATGAGATTAGCAATGATATAAATAAATAAATGGGAAATATAGCTACTGAATTAAAAAAAGAAACTACACATTTTTCCCTATGGTGCAGCAATAGTGAAGCCAAATTATAATGTCAAAAAAGTATTTAAAATCTCTTGAGGCAAACTTTCTCAGTAGACAATCAGATAAAAAGAAATCTGCTTCCACAAAACAGGATTTTTTTTAAAAAACTAGAAATAATATATTAGATACTAAACAGAAAAACAGAAAAGTCTGTTTTACAGAGCTAGTGAAAAGGAAGCCTCATTACCTGTCCTCAGATAATATATACTAAGCCACTATAAACTAAGTTTATTAATTAAAGTCCATTTGTCTGTAATGACTCAACATAATAAATCATAGTTTTTGAACCACAATAGCTGGATTTTATATATTAAACTTCTGTAATTAATTCTGACTTAGATTCATGGTATGGACATATTTCCAGGCTAAAGACTATACTCCAACATTAAGGGATAAGAGTCAGGATGAAAACTAAATGTAATTTACATTAAAATGTAATTAAAATTAAAAATAGTTAATTTGATTATGTCTCTCGTCGTGCATCTGATCATTTTTACTTCCTGTCATATTATCATTCCAGTTTGGTGACAATTTGGAAATCCCTGAGGATTACATATGACATTGAGGCTCAGGGCCTCTCATTCAGCATGATCCACGAATCCAGGACTCTCATATAAACATGTGTGTGATTGTCGTTTAAATTTTCCATGCTCCTCAGTTAGACTTCTTTGTTCTTACTTTTCTCTTAAGCAAAATAATTAGAAGCACTGGTTTTAAATACTGTTTAAATTTGGGCAGGAGAGGGTTTATTTAGATGTCTAATATGGATAATTAGATTACGGCAAGTCTGTGTAGTAAATTTATGAGAACTAAAATATCTCTGTCTTATAAAGTGCTCCCAAGAAAGAGCATCATAAGATGAAAATTTTGTCCTTGTATATTTGAAATTTATAAACAAAGCCCTTGGCAGCTGCAATTGTAACGGATTCCCATCAGAAACAAAGATACAAAATTAAAAGGAAGAAAATACTAAAGAATGAAATATTCATAATAGTACAAGTTAACTTTTGTATACTGAAATATACCTAATCTCTATTTATATCCCTCCCAATTATAAACCTTATACAAACCTGTGTAAATAAATTCTATTGTCTCTCACATAATAAGTGAGAGGTCTGAGCCTGTGAGGCAAAATAGTTAGTTTTGCCTTAATAACACAGCACCCTTAGTATCTTTTCTCAAACAGATAGGTAGCAGAAGTGGGTTGCTCCTGGTTCAGCCTGGATCGGGCAAACCTATAGTAGCAGCGGGAGGAGGCTCCACCCACCCACATGAGCATGCGCACACAAGCGAACTGGTAGTAAAAAAAATTAGAAACCCACCATTGGTAGGTAGGTAGGTAGGTAGGTAGGTAGGTAGGTAGGGAGGCAGGCAGGCAGGCAGGCAGGCAGGCAGGCAGGCAGGCAGGCATGTAGATAGGTAAGTCAACACATAACTACTACTATACTAGCTCACCATAACAAAAATAGAAGTAAATCTTTAAGGAGTATACATATAAGTATTAAGCCTAGCTTAAGTAAAGCAGCATTTCTTCTTGATGTTGATATTTCAACAGCAAAGAGTAGTACAGTCCTCACCACAATGTCAGTGATGGGATCAATGTTTATTCCTTGTATTAGGAATCAGTATAATTTGAATTTCAGAAATCCAAAGCAATCCAGAAATCCTGAACAATGGTCTGACCCTATGTAAAATTCATCTGTTCTATGCTGAATGATATTGTGCTTAATTTAAAAATGCTCAATGACATCCTTATTTTTGGTACTGAAATAAACAGGTACCATTTTTTCAAGCTATAGTTGTATATGTTTTAAGGATTATATTATCAGAAATAACTGTTGAAATACATTTCAACAGAAGCCCCAAAACTGATTCATCCAGCCTTGACCATAATACCATATGGCTAAATAATTCTAATCTGACTATTGCCAAGAAGCAGAGCTAAAACAGAATTTTTTTTACCAAACAAGAAAAAATACATAATGCAAATCACTGTGGAGGGGGATGAAAGCCAAATGCTTTGATTCATCTAGTATTTTTAGGCAATAAAATGTTATCATGGTTAACAAGCTATCCCAGTAACTAAAGCACCACAGAACTCGTTGGTTATACAAAGACTTTATCCAGAAATCTTGTAACAAAGTACTAAAAATAATCTTCAAACTGGCAGATGTCAGAGAAATTTCCTTATGGATTTTTGTCTTTCAAAGCTTGTAAGGCTTAGGTTTTCATGTCTGTCAGTTGCATTGATCCACAGAATTGGATCAATTGTGTCTCCCTTTTTTACCCTATGCCAAACTTACATCTTTTAAAAAGGTACTTAAGACAATATCACACAGTCCATTAAAATAATACCATACTAAATGCATCTCTTATATTTTACTCCCTGTTGGATCAGAAGCAAAGAGAAATATAAAAAATATATAGTGTAATTCATTTTAAAAGGGTAATAAAGTAAAGCTTAAACCTTTTCAAGATGATGCCTCAAGATGAAATTCTACACATTAATATACAATATACAATATAAATAGTCCCCTCAATTATTTTAATAAGAAAAAGTAGCAAAGGAAAGAAAAAAGAAGAAAAAGAAGGTGCAAGTCCATTGACACAATTTTTTAATGCAAGGAAAACAGGAGACAGAATATCAAGCACCATAAACAAGCCTGCAAAAAGATTTCATGGAATTCAGGATTTTTCCATTTTTACATCGTAAACGACAGAAAGCACAAGAGATAAATGTATGTGACCCTTAGATACAACATTTTCCTTCCACTAATAGAAATAAATTTTATTCATTTCGTCAATTTCTCCCTCCCATCATAATCTCCAAAATCGCCACCCACTCATTGTTTAGCAGTCCTCCAGCATATATTTTTATGGAAATGCAACCGAGAGAAGAATCAGTGAAAATTGTTTCTCTTTCCACCAACAAGAACTTTCCATGAATTGAATCACAACACAATCCATTACACACCAGATTATTTACTCAGGTAAGTAGCTTGCTTCATTCTAGATGCAAGTGAAAATTTTGTGATTTTTGAAATGTTTAAAATTATTATTATTTTTAAGCAAAACTTTCTGAAGTGGGAACAGATCTAGAGTTCATTCAATTTACAATTATCTGTTTCAGTTTTAACCAACAGTTTTATTTATAGAATAACAGGACATGAACAGTTTTCAATGTTCTTATAATAGAAACAATACTTCATTAGATAAATTAGAAATAAGAGTACATTTGGGGGGATTAGTGTATCACTAAAATGAATTTGAAAAATTATAAAAGTCAGGGAATTGTTTCAGCCAGAAAATCATGCCTGAATCCTATTAATCATGATTCCATCTAAGCATCCTGCATATGACTGCAAGAGTTGTCTGAAATAGGATTTATGTATCTCCCAATCAAAACTAAAACTTGTTTTTAAAATAAGAAAATCCATGAAACTTTCTATGAGGTTCTACCCAAATTAATTATGTTTACACAGAGGTAGAGCTTAATCTCTTGTACTCCATTTTAACAGCTTAAATATAGATATTATTTATTTTTATAAAAGTGCATTACCACAGTTTGGGACTGGCTTCTCCAGCAGAGATATCCTCTGGTTGTAGTCATTTATGCAGTAAAAATCCTGAGTTTCTGCTTTTGGAAACTTGGTCTCTTGGAATACTTTGATCCACATAATATCACAGGAACACTTGAAAGGGTTGCCATCTAAAGTCCTACAACAACAACAACAAATAGATTTATATCAGAATTTTAAAGAAAATAATCCCTCAAATAACAGTTCACAAATCAAAGACACTTTAAAATAATACTAGACAGGTCTAAACAGTGACAAAAACAGCAGATGAAAGCACTTGTCACTATTCTGGCCCATAATTAGGTTAAGAGGAAAACACTTTTCATTCCTGTCCAGACAATGTATTTATTTTTCCACTGATTGTTATGTGGATATTTAAATGCAATATTGACATTGCATGGTGGCTCCTAAACTTTAATCTACTAATCAGCTAAGTCTATATATCAATAAAATAGTACTTCCTGACAGATCTAATTCATTGGATTAGAATATATTCCCTTTTGCATCTGTGTGAAAGGGGATGCCCCTTCTAAAATGAGGTCCTAAACCCCCTTTGTTTGATTTTGCCCAAAATAGTTCTAATCCATTTATCTAGTTTAGTCTACAATCTGATCTCCTCTAAACGTGTTAGGACTATAATTCCTAACATTCTTAGCCAGTGTTGCTAGTTTAGACACATTTGGAGAGAATCAGGTTTGAAAAGCTCAAAAATCTAGTCTTGACTGGGAAGAAAAGAATGCCATTTTTTTCAATTCAGTAGGAAAACTATTATTCTGGACCATGAACAATAATCATATTTAATTCTCAGTGTACAGTGTCCCATAATACAGTTTAGATGTTTTCTATTATTGTGGATAAACTGAGCTCCCCCTTATGGTCAAACATCACAGAAATATATTTCAAGTAAAAGATGCAGAGACTTGAAAAAAGAAGTCATCTATGAAACCCTTGGAACAAATGCAAAAATGGCTTAAGTAACATTTAAGACTACAACACAAATACTGAGCTCTAAGACTTAGAAGAATATATAAGCTCACACTGAGGAATTAAAATGGAATCTTTATTACCCAGTTAAAATTAACACATCCAGGAAAGCCTCTTTAATTAGGTACTTAAAGTATCTCTTGTACTTAATGTATAAAGAGCTAGAATAAAAAAAGAAACAGCAAAAAGTCCAGATGTCTGGCTCGGGCAAGGAATATTATCTAAGCTTTGCTCATAAAAGCATAACCTATCTTTCATGAGCTAATTCATTGATGTACCACTTGTTGCCCCTAAGATATTTTATTAAGATGAAACAATCCAGCATTAATTATAACCATCTACAGGCAGAACATTTGATTTGGTCTTCCAGATCCTTCTGTCAATGTAATCTCATAGAATATTCACAGCAGTTCAGATGTTGTCGAAGCTGTCTGAGTAGATCAGCTCAAATAAATATTCAGATCAAAGAGAGAGTTTTGTAGGTTTGACAAATTTACGCTAATATATTGGAAATGTTAAGCAGACTACTTCCACCTGTTTTGGAGAAACAATAGTTGCTTTCAATGGTGTGTAGGAGAGGGAAAAAAGCATGTAGACCTCAGTATAAATATACAACTATACCAAACAATCTCTATTCTCAGCTCAATTACACTTTAATTAGAAAAGAGTGGGAACTACATCATAAAGCAAATCTGTATTTGAAACTCCACAAATAGCTTCCAAATCTGGAGATTTGTTGCTCCCCAATACATGGATTAATGTGTTAATATGTTTTGTGCATATATATATATATATATATATATATATATA